GCCTCTATACCTCTTGGCAAGAAAACCAGAAGGCGTATGTGTCGAACTATTCTTTTAAACTGCATTACAATGCAATGATATTTTGACCAAAGTTAATGCAGAACTAAATTTTCACTGCGAGGGATTATGCAATTCAAGCAACTGTTAACTGATTTTCATATCATATGGATAAAGCTTACTAAAGCTCTAAAATCGTAGAGCTTGCATTTGAAAATGGTCATCAAATGTTTGGATACAAACATGTAAACATGTGGTATGGTCCCTTTCAACATGTGGTCCTTGATTACCAGCTGATGTTATGTGTCCTGAGTCTCCACTTATACATGAAACACTATTTGTATGCCGCTCTTTTAGGTAGATTTTTCCACCTGGAATGTGAGTTTCTGCCAAGGTCAGAATGTGGTAGACAGAACTGGAGTATGGATGTGAGACAGTAAAAGAAAAGTATTTCTTTCAGGCTTATAGTCACATAATAAAACACACGTTCTCTTGCACAGCAAAGTGATGCAATGGGTCAGAGTAACTCCACATCCTCTCAAAGGGTGTCTTGGACGCAGTCTCTTTTTGATTAAGATCCCTGATGGATGAGAAGCTGTAACAGTTCACAACACAGACCAGACCTTCAGCAATGAAAAGTTTGCTCAACCTCTGAAAGCCTGAAGCGCTAACCCTCTTCTTTTAGTCACCTCTAATCGTCAATGCACCAGAGTCATTAGCCTCCACGATCCCCTCACTCTCCTGCTCTCTTCCTCCTTACTTCCTTTCAGGGCCTCACAATGAATCCATTTGCATCCCTCCAGGTTGCTACAATACTTGGCCACCCCAACTTGAAATGTTTTGCCTTTGCTTTGAAGGTGGGTTTCAAGGGGAAAACAGCTGCAGGAGAATAAAAAAGATGCAGTGTATATGGTGCTGAATGTGTTGTTTCTAAAGTTCTGGCTAACTCAATCACACTAACTGTTTTTGTTTATTTGGAGACATTTGAGAGGGTGTTTGTTTCTTTGTTTGTGTGCATGGGTGTTTTTCTGAGTGTCTATATGGCCTAATGAGGCTGTTAGTTGCTGTTGACTCCCTGCCATATGTGCATGAACACATCAGAGAGCCTCGAGGCAAAGGCTATTCTTCTCCCCTCACTCATAATGGTTTGCTTTTTTTTTAGCAAACCATTATGAGCATGCAACAAACAGAGAGAAAGAGAAACTTCGTGCTGTGATGGTACAGATTAATACACTGAAGACTAGGAGGCTTTGTTAGGTGCTCATGCACAATGAATTTCACAGGTTTCCCAAAGATTCTTGTCTGTCAAACCGTGCGCCATTTCTGGTTTATTGTTACATTTATTTCTAATAAAATGGAAATTCTCATAGAAGCAGGTTTGAATGAGCAGATAGAAAGCTGTCATGTTTCGGACAGATTGTCCCTGTGGTGGAGTTGATGTGTCAGGGGACAGGTGGCATAAATGAAGTCATACCACAAAGCCTCAAGCCTTATTACTGTACATTAGCGCTCCACTAAGTTCCTGTCTGCCTTAACATCCTCAGGGAGATTTCTGGCCTTTGATGAAGCTCGACTGATGGCTGGTGAGGAACGCTTTCCTCCCACCTCTGTCACCTCTGCTCGCCGTTCCAGCGTGGCTTAGTGCTAATTAGCCCAGTGGAAATAAAGACAGAAATCCACTTTCCACTGTGAGACATCGCCAGTGCTAAATCAGACCTCATGCTAATGCTTGAGGAGGTTTTGTGAGGGGTATTTTATGCCTGTCCTTGGCACGGCGTGGCAGGGTCCTGTTCCTTGCTAGGCGTGATGGTTTTTAGTGGTTCTTGCCAGGCTATGCTCCCCTCCCCTCACCCTCTTGCTCCATCCATCTCATCCTGCCTCTGTCTGAAATTCAATTGACCTTTTGTTCCACCTCACAGGGAATGTGCACAGGCCAGCTCCACCAATAGCCAACCCAGAGCTCTCATACCTCTTTATTTGATTTGTCCTGCCGAGTCCAGTGCTTTCATTACCTACCTTAACACCCACTGCCCACACCGCACCTCCACTTCTCTACAGCTACATCCTATTTTATCTTTGGTCATGTCTCTTTGCTGGTAGGGGGGCGAGTGCATTTGAGGCTGTGAAGGTGATATATTTTACAATCAGGAGAAAACTCTTCTTCCCTCTCTTTCTCCTACTTCTCATGTTTGTGATTGTTAATGGTGATTGGCTGTTATTTGCGCCAGCTCGGCTTGTTTTAAACACGGCCCTTTTTCTCCTCTCCCTCAGGGGACTTCTTTTCTGACTTTGCAAAAGTGCTGAGGTAGCTTCCTTGTCACTCAGGGCAGAAGAGCTCTGAATTGCTGCGCTTTGACAAGGCCAGACGTGACCGTGACCTGTCAATCATTTGGATCTTTGGGATTAACAAATTGATCCCAATGGCCTCGTTCCAGCCTCTAATTACATCTTAAGTCAAACAAGTAGCATTGTCTTAACTTTCCTTCATCGAACATCTCTTCCCCTTCCTCTGGATTCTGCTTTAATTTCCCGGCCTTTTCTCATCATCACATGCTCCCCCCGCCCTCGCCTTAGCGTCAAAGTCATTAAATCTTTTCTGTCCCCTCTCCACCACCACATGCTCCGTCTCTTTTCTTCTTCAGCTCTAACCTCAGTACAGGTCTGCTGCACTGTGATACATACTAAAGACCAACTTCAGCAGCTACAGCACCTCATGTGTGACCACTACCAATCAGAGCTCGCTGTCGTACAATGTGTGCTTTGCTGACTGTTGGACTTGGCATCTGTGTGATTGGGCTTTTTCAGGTGTGTGTGTGTGTGTGTGTGTGTGTGTGTGTGTGTGTGTGTGTGTGTGTGTTATTCCTGCTCTCTCAGCAATACAGAACAGTAGCAATCTTGTGCTAATAAGACTAGGAGAGGACTATGAATTCAATAATGTCCTGAAAGGTGTAGGCTAAAATGAATTATTTATTTATTCTGTATCACACTGAAAATATGATTACAGTGTATATTTTTAAAGGAGGAGAAAAAAGATTGTCAAAAGTATTTATATCAAAGATTTAGCAAAATTGCTACTTTGGGCTTTTGCAGAGTTTAAAGGCACCCCCTTTAACATTTTGTTGAGCGAGTCACTATATTGTTTTCACATTGGTTCACATGCATCAAGCCCCCAGGAACAGTGCCAGGCTGTCAAGCAATTATGCAATGGTTGTTACAGTTGAAATTCAAGTAATGCTCAATCACAATCTGCGTTACCACAGTTTGAACCATTTGGGCCAATAAAAGCTGAAATGTTTCAAAGAGCTGTGTCAGTATATTATTTTCTTGTTCTTCATATGTGCGGCGAGTCAGCCAGTGGAGGTCTCTAATGCTATATAGGACCAAAAATGCAGACAAGACTGAAGAACTTTTATTCATTAAAATGAACAGTGCATCATTTTCAAACACAGTATCCAGTTATTTGAATAAATCCCTGATATACATGCCATATGGAATGGTGTGGTAGGCTACATATTTGAGCTGATGCAGAGGGTCATAATGCATCTCGACGGTGGCATCAATGCCACAATAAAAGTAGAAGACTGCAAGCTGACATAAACCATGTTTCAAAACATAATATAAAAGTCATATAAGATTGTTTGGGCATTCAGAACATTTTAATATATTGAATATATTGTGATGGCAAAGTGCATTTTGGTGAGAAACAGAATGTAAACAAAACTTTAATATGCAGCCTGTTGCATTGTTCTCAGTGGGGAGGGAGCAGGTCACCATAGGACAGCCAGCTGAATGACGAGAGCTACGGGCCGCGTGCAGCTATTGTCATAGTCCCATTCCATCATTAACAAAGAGAACATAGTGATGCTAAAACAGGCTGTAGCACCATTGTGCAGGCTCCATTTACCCCACCAGACAAAGGCACGCAGCGCTTTAACAGGCCGACTGCCTATTGTGTTGGGTCTGGTATGAAGCACTGAAACAGCAAGTATAATGATAATCTATAATAATCATTATCAGTTTGTGTGACCTTAAGGGATTAAATTTAATATTGGAGATGTTTTATATACCAACGTGTGCAACATCCCTCTACATATGTGATACATATGTCTATGTATGTGAATCACAGATTTATGCACATTTCTAGCAGTTTCACAGTTGTAAGTGAAAAATGGGTTTTTTTGTATCCAACCTGCAGTTTTTCATGACACTAAAGTGATGCTGCCAGGGTGTTGTTGCTATCGAAATGTTCAGGTCTGTACCAGCTCCTAGCGGAAGCAGGAGGGAGGGCGCCCACAGCCACATTTCCCAGAAAGCCAAGATATTTTTACAAGCCTCCTAATGAGAGCTGTAAGAGAGCAGGACCCGTGCAACTGAATGGCTTGTGAAAGTACAGAGGCAACACTCTTCAAATTTGATCAAGGTACAGAAATGAAAAGCGAGAGTGGGCCGAGGTGTGTGAGTGCATGTGAATCAGTCAGAAATAAAGGAAGATTTTAAAACAAGGACCATTTGCAAGACAGACAGGAAGAGAGATGAATCAAGAGAATTAAGAGGTTCAACCTTTAGTCTGGCCTTTGAGCTGGCATTCACTGTTGTTTTAAGATGATTCTGGATTGTGTGCACCAGTTCTCCAGTCCTCAACCACTATAATTCACTTCTGAGAGAGAGAGTATGTGTGTGTGTGTGTGTGTGTGTGTGCACTTCTGAGTAACCCCTCAACATTAGTCATGAAGCACTGTGATAAAGGGAGGTCACAGCTGTGTGGAGGCCCAAGAGACAAAGATACTCAAATATGTGCACACAACTCTCATTTGCATCTGCAGAGTGTATTAAATCTGCAGCATGTCCATGTCACAGCCTCTGCTTTAATGGGCTATCCATGTGCAGCATGTTTCTTATTGTCAGAATACACAATATGGGATGAAGAATCTCATGGGGTTAAATTGGTTAAAAACACACAGAAGACACCACGATCTTATCCATGTGTTGTTGTGTGTCCACAGGTTCCTCTTATTATGACAATGTTAGGCCGCTGGCGTATCCTGATTCTGATGCGGTTCTCATCTGCTTCGACATCAGCCGCCCAGAGACTTTGGACAGTGTCATAAAAAAGGTCAGTGTTTTATTTCATCTCCTCCTCTCAACAGTTTGGATCAGCATCTGCTGTGACACTGGAAAACTAACCTGAAAAAAAAATCTGTTTTTCCCGATCAGCATTTTGTATCCACTCAGATTTCTGTGCCAGCAGCTTTCATTTTCATGGCTGAAATATAGAGCAAATCAGCACAGAGGTTAGAGGCTCCCATTTCTTTATCATCAAAATGTCCATGGATAGTTGACCCTCGTCCCTCTGAGGAATGGAAGGTCAGAATAAAGAATATGAGGAGAGTCTTTGCAGCCGGGTAGGTTCGAGAAGAATATCAGATACACACATTAGCCACACTAGCTGTATCAAAAAAGAGCTACAGAGCCTGTTCAAGTGTACTAGAATTTTCTTTCTGTAGGCATTTAAATTTTAAATCTGAGTTTTATGCAGAGTACTTGTCCAGATGGTGGCAGTTAACATTTGTAAGATGGCCTGTGGTTCAGATGTTGTAATATTGCAGTTGAGATTGGGGTGGAGGCTTAAGTGTGGTACTGGCCGGGCGGGGTTGTGGTCATGGACGTGTTTTTACAGCCGGTGGCAATACGTATTGTATAGACATCCAACTTAATGGGTTTGTTTGCGTACATGTGTGTCATGCAAAACAGGCCTGTGCCTGTGGTCTCTCATCTTGAAGCCACGTGTGTGTGTGTTTGCCTTTGAACTGCGCTCCTTGTGGGCCAAAAGCAGTTCCCACGGCTGGCCTGTTGACGTGTTTAGTGGTCTGAAGGGAGCTACTAAAATGCCTCTGCAGACTTTGTAGATCTAACCCGAGACACCTTTTTTTTACCCCACAAATATCTCACAAGCCTCAGTGCACTCTGTCAACGGGGGGAAGCAGAGCTGCGGTCAAGCTTTTGGTTTTCCCATGAATCCCTTGGCAGGGGGTTGCCATGACCCTCTGAACCCTAGCTGTCGCCGCAGTAATCTCTGAAACACAGGGGCACATGGAAAACCTGTTGCACAATCACCATCCCAAATTAGACTCTTGACCTCTAGAAACGAGCGGGTCACCAAGGTTTCTGGATGACAGCTGGGGGAGGCTAGAGGGTTAAACAATCAAAGCTTTTGATTAGATGTTACAGGCCGAATAGAGATGGGCTTGAAAGGTCAAAGGTTGTTTCTGACGTAAAAGATGAATGGACATCCTGACACTGTGCACACGGCATGTAGAATAGTTCAGGGCTGTCGGCTGCTGTCTTGCATTTGTGTCGTAGGGAAGACTGACTGTGTTGGTTCAGCTGAGTTTCAGAAGTGACATTTAATCTCAGGGCAATTTTAGAAGGAAGGCTGCTCAACCTTTTCTGTACAGAACCTGAAATAGATTTGTTGATGGGGCTGTGTGAGGAAAGTATAACACACATCAGGTACTGCAGAAACCTGAACCATGCTGGCATGAATAAAGCTGTCATATTTTCAAATGAAACTTTCATTTTACAGTGAAAAAAATAAAGATTTGCCTTTATTTATGCTTTTACTTAGAGCTGAAATGATTAGCCGATTAATTTATTAGTTTTTGAGCAGTTTTTGAGCAAAAGTGCCAAACATTCTCTTGTTCCAGCTTCTCAGTTGTGAGGATTTGTTGTTTTTCTTTGTCTTATGTGAAAGTAAATTGAATATCTTTGGGAGTGTTGGCAATGTGAAAATGTCAACATGTGCTTTAAGAAATCATTCAAGTCCTTTTCTGACAATGTACTGACCAAAAAATGCACTGATTAATCGAGAGAATAATTGTCAGATTAATTGAAATTGACCATTAACCATTTCTATTAATTAGTCTTTTGATTATTTTCGATTAATTGATTCACTGTTGAATGTATTGAAAATGCTTATCACAACTTCCCAGAGCTCATTGAGATGTCTTCATACGTTTGTTTTTTTCCAAAATATGGAGGAATTGACATAATATACTCATTTAATCTCAGGAATGTTGATATCAGTAGATTCAAAGTACTTACCGTAAAACTTTATTTTAAAAGCCTAGTCTCAATTAGACACCTGACTCTTATACTGGCCTGGTGTGGCTACACATTTTAACAAAAAACCCCGAAAGGTCTGGTCTGGTTTTTATTGGATGTATAAAACCTCTTAAAGCCCAATGGGTACCCGCGTAAGCTGCTTCTAAGGTGCTTGGATCTCATCGAGAGAGTGACCTCGGGTATCGTATCCAGTGCCAGAGAAGCCAAAGGTCGTCACTGTATCTCCGTAGCTCACCAGTCAGTACAGTAGAGCTGCAACAATTAATGAATGTTGTCAACTATTAAATTGATTGCCAACTGCTTTGATAATAACATTGGTTTGAGTATTTTTTTAAGAACAAAATCATTATCTACATTATCTGATTCTAGCTTCTCACATGTGAATATTTTCTTTACTCTACTATGATAGTAAACTAAATATATTTGGGTTGTGGACAAAACAAGACATTTGAGAACGTCATCTTGAGCTTTAGGAAACACTGACCGACCTTTTTCACAATTTTCTGACATTTTATAACAACTAAGAAACAACAGATTAATTGATTAGTTAGTTGCAGTACTAACAGTACAGGCAGCTCTACTCTCGTATTTGGCATAATCAGTGAGGTATTTCTGTGTTTTTTTCTCAACAGTGGCAAGGTGAGACGCAGGAATTTTGTCCCAATGCCAAAGTGGTGCTGGTGGGCTGTAAGCTGGACATGAGGACAGATGTCAGCACCCTGAGGGAACTCTCTAAGCAGCGCCTCATCCCTGTCACCCACGAGCAGGTGAGAAAAAGCAGATGATGGATATGTGAGAAGAAAGAAGTGGGATTAATAATGAAAGAGGGACTTGGAAGGTGCCCTGGGAAGAAAGACAGACTTGAAAACAACAAAGGATGCAAAAAAGAAATTAGAAAGCAATCCAGCGATTATATGCGATTTTTCTATCTTGGATCAGCAGTGGCGTTGCCTCTCTGGTGAAGTCCCACAGGAATGGAGTGTGAAAGGAGGCCCATGCAACACAATCACCACCACTGCAGAATAAGAGCTGTGTGAAACCCCTCTGGGACATGTTGCTGGGGTTGGCATTTTGACCGAAATTTGCTGACAAGCAATGTAAGGTTGCTTGTGGCGAGGGCTGCGGAAGAGGCACGGGCCGTTAGTAGAGTTTATGTCTAGGGACACATTTTCCTTGAAGTGAAATATTCATGCAGATTTAGGGATTTTCAAAATGCAGGATTAATAGAAAAAGAGACATTGATAAATGAGTGAGCTCTTTTATCGCATGCCGCCATGACCTCTAAGCCAAGGGGATAGGGAGAAGAGGGAGGCGATGATAAACTGTTCTGTAAATCTGTGAATTTTAATCAGCTTTCGGCGTGTTCATTTTGTGCTCTCCCGTGTTGGACATGCAAAAAGTAGAGGGGCTTTTTCACCGCCACACAAAAGCCTTCAGAACAAAGGAGCCTTTTTTTCTCTACTGCTGTCTGAGAGCTCGCCAGAGGCTAAAAGCATGCGGCCTCCAAAAAAATCAGCAACTGAAAAAAAAAGCACTTCATCTAAATAAGATACATAAACAAAAGATGGAGTGGCAAACCACAGAGCTAATGTAAAATAGCTGGGAACCATTTGTGGCCAGGCCTACATTAAGCTATTGTTCCTTCTCAGTCACTATTTTCTTCTGAGGCAACTACTGTTTGTCCCTCTAACATGCCCAGAAAATGTGTCACACAGTGGCTAAAGCTGTGCACAATAAACATGTTGGTGCTCTAATCCAATAGCCTGTGTTGTTATCTTGTTGTTGATCTTAAACTGAATTCCAACACAGCTGAAGAGTTGCCAGCGAGAGTGACCACTGGGTGAACTCCAGACATTTCTGAACTAATCTGCCTGAGATCTGATCGAGCTTTTCCACTTGTCATGACAGTCTCTGCCTCGGTCCCCTCCCACTGTCACCGTCACCAACACCGCCACCCCTGAATCTAAATCTGACGTTCCACCTACTGAGGACTTCATTGCATCTTATATGTGGCTCAGTGCACAGACGCGATAAACATAAAACTACTTCAACTGGGAATGAAAAGCTCTCTGTGTTGGAGAGCATGCAGTTTTAGGGTCATGGGAAATGCAGTCCTGTCTCATCTGTTACAACCTTTGCATGTGTTGATCCTGCACGAATGTGGGTTTAAAGTCAAGAGGCAAGAGACGAGGCTGTACTGTAGCAAAGAGAAAGGCCAAGAGACTTTAAAATTAAATTTGTCTCCGATTTGATCTCAAGCAAACAATTTATGGCCTTAATTAACTGGATATATTGTAACATTACTCAGGGGTAAGCTCTAGTGCCAGAAGAGTCCTGTTAGAGTTTAGCCTCTCTAAATAGCTGCATAGAACATGTCAACATTGGCCCAGTGGGCTCAGTGCTGCTCTGTTCCCACTCTCTTACCACAGACGGAGGAGTCAGAGCATCTAGATTATTCATGCCACAGACAGAGAAGCTTCATTTGTCTCGAGACATGTTTAGACCATTGACATTTAGTACGGTTTAGATTGAAATCTTTGTCTCAGTTCTGCTGCCTCTTTCGGGAACATTTAGTCTGTTATACAATGATGGATGTAGTGCATATTGAAAAATTTCATTTTCTTTGTGAAGCACTCACAGCACACAGTACCTTGATGTGGAATAAACCCATGTCTAACACAACCTCTAAAAGCCTCAGGAAAGAAGAGCCACGGTCAGGATTTCTGTTAGAAAAGAAGCAGAATACAAAACCATTGGTGGAAAGGTACAACAGAAATAGTTATACATGATTATGTTTTTTTGTGGCACTGCATATAAGATTATTAGTCTCCCCCTTCTGTCTCTGCGCCCTATTTTTCCTGTAAAGCAGTTTGTTACTTCTGTATTGAAACATGCTATGCAAATTAAGTATGCTTGCTTGCTAATTGTCACCTATGTTTCCTGTCTCTGTGTTCCAGGGAAGCACGATAGCTCGACAGATAGGGGCGGTGGCCTACGTAGAGTGCACCTCCAAGGTTTCAGAGAACAGCGTTCGGGACGTGTTCCATGTTACCACAGTGGCGTCGGTCCGGCAGCCAAACAAGCCTCAGCTAAAACGCAGCAGTTCCCGCAGAGGCCTGAAGCGAGTGTCACAGCTCCCGTTGCCTCCCCTGCCGGGTCGGACTGAGCAAATGGACCAGGCCCCGGCCATGAGGAAGGACCGGGCCAAGAGCTGTGTGCTCATGTAGAGACCTGTTGTTATAAATATATATATATATATATATATATATATATGTATATACATAAATACAGAAATATATAAACAGAGGAAGTCTATTTATTGTTTTTTAGTTGTGTATTCATTTTTTGCACTGCAGAGGATTGAGGGGAAAAACACACACTGCGCTGTGGAAAGAAATGCTTTAGATTTATTTATTTTTTTTTGCATTTGTGCATATTTTCTAAGCTTGTGTTGTTTTGAAATGATGGCAAATTGGACTAACCCTCTGGATATGAGGAAGCTGTGATGGTGGATGTGCAGTCTAGTCCTGGGTATTAAAGTGGAATTAATTTCCTGAAACCGCGCTAATAAGAGGATGGCACCCCGGCGAAGCGGCAATGAGGAGAGTGAAATGCGTGTGAGTAGGACCATGTTGAAGCAGGACATCTGGGGATGAAGCTTGTTTTCAAAGACCTGTTGTGAACAAAAGGACTAATTGTCTGGCTGCACTGTCTGAAGTTGCTTCCTGTTGCCATATATGAGAGGAAAACCTGTATGTACAGTAATGCTGAAAAGGGATTCTAGTGATTAGATGAATGATGGCTCACACTAAACCTCAGGAGCTGGAAATGAGATTTTGTAACACTGAAATATTGTGAAGGTGTGTAAGCGTTACTACCACAAGTGCAGTTTTTTAAGTCACAACACATCTGATTTTGTTTTTCTCATTTAACACTATGTTTTGTCATCAACACCAAATGTGTCAGTTTGATTCTCTGAAGTCAATGCTGTTGTCGCCGTTTTAAAGATGTTTCTTTGTGGAAAATAAAGTGGTAACACGTTAGGGTTATTTTGTTGTACTTTCACTAAAGTCTAAAATTAAACAACAGCTGACTAAATAGGGAAAGGACGATTTCTGGCTGAAGTTTCATTCATTAAATATCCTTAGAGAATTAGATCGTGTCATTGTTATAGGCTGCCACCAACTGTCTCATTATGCTGAGAGGGAGCAAATTGATCATTTACAATTATCAGTGATTCCTCTACAACTTCTCATCCACCAGCCTTTTAAACCCCTGTTTTTATGTTACCTCCATCCTCTCACATTGCCCTGGAAAGTCAAATAGCAATGCAGCCTGAGGAATGAGTCAGTGAGTCAATCTTTCAAGGTGATGTGCACACTGTGCTGAACTCTCAGCTGGCAAAACCAAAATTGAACTGCAACACAGCAGCACCGAAGCACTTATGTATTTTTAAATGACTTCATACTGTTACAGGACCTTCAAGTCTATTAGTACGACTGATGACATGACAAGTGAGCTCTTTCATCCGCAGAGAACACTTTGTGGTCCAGTTGATCCTGGAACTCCAGACCTTTCAAAGTTGTTTTTTTCCCCCTGAGCTGGTTCTGTAAAACAGTCCATTGGTCAGTCTCAATGTAGACAGATTCTCTTAGGCAGCAGGACTTTCTGTCTAGGGTGTTTTTGCAGTTGGCAAGCTGCTGTATCCTGACAGCATTTAGGAGGGGGTGAAAGTGGAGAGGCCCATCTACTGAAAGTCAAAACACTCTGGCAGCAACTGAAAGCTTTACCTTTATAACTGTCACTGTTGTCTGGCAACTTAACTGTTGTTACGTCCCTGCTAGACATTAAACCATTGGCAAGATGAGCTCAGATGATGGATTAAATGTCAAGAGAAACTGGCATAGATGAAGAGAGAAACAAGCTAAGACAAGAAACACAAGTCAGTCTATGGCAAGATAGGAAAAAACCTTTTAGAGACACACAAATGTGTCTGATGTTGCTCAAATCTTTGCAAAATACAGGAGAGGTTTACTTAACTTTACATTTAGGTGACACTTTTATCCAAAGTGACATACAATTGCTGTACATGTCAGAGGTCACACACCTCTGGAGCAACTACGTGTTAAGTGTCTTGCTCAGGGACACATTGGTGTCTCACAGTGGATTCGAATCTAAGTCTTTCACACCAAAGGCATGCGTCTTATCCACTGCGCCGTCTCCACCCCTCTTTCCCTTTGGTTAAACTACTCACAGCTCATGCAACCTGTGATGAGGGGTCACAGGTAGAAAATGTTTGGCTATAAAGGGTCACAAGGCAAAAAGTGAAACAGATCAAAGATGGAGACATAGTATAAGCTGCATGAACAGACTGAGACGTTTTAATTTTTTTGACACTCTAATTTAACTGCTGTGAAGCCAAGTTACTACACTTCCCTGCAAAGGAGCATGCAACAAAATTTCAGAGACAGCTTTTGTGTCCACAGGAGAAAAGATTTTCAAGTGTTTTCCTTGAAGCAGAAGAAAAGGGTGTGGAGCATCTTTTGGATGGACAGAGGAGCTGTAGGAAGGTGTTGCCGAGGGCAGGAATGAGCAGTGGAAATGAAGCCAGCACCCACAGCAGGGGCATAAGACCTACAGTGCCTTTACAGTTTGGACTGACACTTACAGAGGATTAGTCTTGTGGTGCCAGTGTGTGCGTATGTGTGTGTTTGTACGTTTAGCAGAGTGAGCATTGGGCAGCATCATCTCCATTGCACTGCAATCAGACTTTCCCCATCAGCCTGAATAGACCATCAAATAAAGCAGTCATCCACATGCTGATAGACGTGTCCAGCTCGCCAAGATGAAGACAAATCAGCTGCTGCCTTGTTTGAAAATTAGACTGGCATCAGAGTTTTTATCTTGACAATCTACTCCCACTCACAGGCAGGTTTATTACCGCAGGATGTCTAGCCTCGATTTCAGCAATCTGATCAGCCATTTGCCCTTTACCGCTGAGACGCCAGGAGGATTAGAAGTACCTTTGTGGGTTCATGCTCTGATTCCGCATTCTTGAGTTTCCCTTCCATTCTTTGCTATTCCAAGTGGCTCTGACAAGCACAGAGAGCTCAGTCATCTTATCCCTGAATGACCAGAGCTGACGTCATTTGCACAGGAAGTCCACAATCTCCGACATTTGTGGCTAATTACTACAATTTGCAGATGGGGTTGTGTCCTCAGAAATGGCATAGAGAGGGAGAGAGAGAGCAATTGATAGAGACACACTGAGGAGTAGTGATGGACAGTGAGAGAGACAGTAGTTGGCCTGCCTGCTGACAAAAGGCTACAGAGCAGAGCCACAAATTGCATACAGTCATGAGAGGATTTGTAATGAGAAGCAATATGTGACCAAACTGAACTCTCTCTCTCTCTCTCTCTCTCTCTCTCTCTCTCTCACACACACACACACACACACACACACACACAATGCCAGCAGAGATTGTTGGCATTCCACATAGGTGTTTGGGGAACTGACCATCGTCATATGCCTTCGACAGCATATTCATTCTGACAACCTTTCCCCTATTACCGCTTAAGATTTTCACTTTTATTGTTTCCTGTTTCCCAGCAGATGAAGATGAACTCAAAGTGTAGACCAACTTTGGCCCCTCCCTGAAGTGGTTTAGCAGTGAAAACACAGACTGTTGAGATTAATTATCCTACGGTTTAGTGCTTTCTGCACTAAAGTGCAGCTAATTAAAATGTGAGTGTGTGCTTTCATATAATTTGCCAATGTTTGTGTGTTTGTCTTTATCTGTATTGTCTGTGTGTCTGCAATTACATCAGGGCCCAGCATCTTCTTACAGGATGTATTTTTTGTGTCTTTTAACATCAAAAGCAGAACAGGGAGAGATTGACGGGTGGAGTTATTAGTATTTCAGAAGGAAGTGTTTTTTCCATCATGTGTTTTCAGGTGGATGCACACATACACCATTTCCCTGAGGGATTAGAGGTTGTGTATGAGTGCTTTTGTGAGGAGGCCTGATAAGATAAGAGAGATGGAGTGGTTTGGCAATGATATTCAGTATCCAGAGTTTTTGAATTGGAGTCCATAAACTGATCTGACATCTTTCCATGGCAAATAAACCAGTTTTATTGTAATTGTAAATGACAAATTTGTAGGAAATGTCATGACATTTTGGGCAGACTTTCAAAGTGCCCAAAAGATAAATCCTAACAACAATGTCAATTACCAGAACTTTCCCCTATCCCCACCATGAAGTTGGCATTTGTGGTTTTGAGTGAAATGTCTCAACATGTCCCCCTCAGAATAAAGTGTAATCATTGTGTTGATCCCCTGACTTTTGCCAGCACGGCGTGAGTCAGCTTGTAGCAGCTACAGAGTCTATTACACTGAGAAAACTGGCTGAATCTGATTGATATTTTTTCAGCCATGATAAAGTTGGCAAGCCAACCAGCTGTCAGCAGCTAACTGTGGAATAACTACGGCAGCAAGTCGCAGTTTAAATACTTTGTCACCTTGCAAGCAGCTGTTCTATATGTTTGGACAATCCAGCAGACTGCTTTTGAGTTTTCTTGCTCACGTCACCCGAATTTGAGGACTAGAGTTCATCATTCTGCTATACTGCCTGCTGAATAACCTCATCCTGGAAAATGAATCAGCTGATATGACAAATGCTGTGTTAATGTGGCTCCTTATAGTCTGACAATTAAGTAACAAAAAATAAACTTAATTTATACAGCACTTTACAAATCAAAGTTAGAAAGTGCTTTATAGTCAACAAGTATTAAAATATTGGTACTGATTCTGCAAGTCTCAGATCTTCAAATCTTCTGCTACAAATTCTAATGTCTCATATTTTAATTGTGTTGCTTGAGGGATCAATAAATCCCAACATAGGGCTTGCACAATATAAGGAAAATGTGCGATAACATTGTTCAATATTGTGATGATGACATGACTTGCGATAAATAAGCAAATATTAAAGTGTGCATATTAGCTGCTGTTTTGTCTTTAAATTCAGAACGGGATTAGAATTGAACATTTAAAGAATATAACTAAATGTTGTGTGTAGTGCAGCAACATTTAAGTTTACAACAGCAAAGTCACTATATAAACTCAATAACATCTCACCGGAGACCAAATCTAAAATGTCAAACGTCAAAATACTGAGTGAAGTTTAGAAAGAATGAAAACCGTATCACTCCTTCCTCCTGTCCTCCTCCTCAACCCTGCTGCTGCTTTTATTCATTCAGGGGGGAAATTGTTGCGATAATAGCTAAGGTGACCCGTTCAATGTTCTAAGTCAGCTACATACTGTGCAGTATTTGTAAACAGCTACAACCTGGAGTTCATTGTCAGTGTCTTCAACAATGAGTTTGGCTCTACAATGAATGAACGTTCCACAGTGATCATCAACAGATGGGTTGTCATTTATCTGTACACCCTTGAAGACACCTTTGGATGTAAAGGCAACTACTTTTGCATTACCTCATGAACCCTGACATCCCAGGTACAAAGGGCAACAAGCGATTTTCATGCAAAATACTGTTTATGGATATGATGTTCAAATTTAGTAAATAACTTCAGCCTATTCATGTGACACACCTGCAAAAAGTTAAAAGCTCAAGCTAACCATTTTTTCAAACACACATCTAAACATTTCCAGCTGCTCTTTGCCCTCTGCTCCAACGATTCTTACACCAGGTTACATATGCCGTAAACACAAAAGTGCAAGCCCCAGAACCCATAGAGATTGCATTGCAGTGCCTGCAATTCTAAAAACATTGCTTTAACACAGAAAATTTTTCTGCTTTGGTAGTGTTTGATCACCCTGGGGAACAAACTGCCCCTGCTGCCTGCAGGTAATGTTGCTGGTTAGAGAGATGAGGGGCTGGTGTGCATGTACAAAACGTGGCAAACTAAGCTAAACAGTCTACAAACTAACAGGTTTCATTTTAGCTTGTTTGTAACAATTTGCTATTAGCAGAGCTGATAAAGCTTTTTACTTGTGAAGGTTTCATTGCACTTACTTACAGTAAATAGCATAGCTGTCGCCAATGCGAATATCACCTGGTTCACTTCACTGTCTCCACCGTGGCTTCTGAT